ACGGAGCCCTGCCATGGGCCCTGGGGCCCCCCTGGGGCCCCCCTGGGGCCCATGGGCCATCAGCATGGTGATGCATGGTGAACCTCGTGCTCGCCGAGCCAACATCTCGGAGAGATCGTGTCGTTGCCAATTGCGTGATTGAAGTGACCTGAGGCAACAGATTCCATCAGATTCCCAAAAAATGGCTCATTTCGATGGAATATCATGGAATATCATGGGATATCATGGGATAGAGCACAAAGGGGCTTCCATACTTCACCATCACCAATTTCTGCATCACTATCGTGTTGCACCAACTTTGGTCATATTTGGTCATCGAGCCATATTGAGATACACATAGATACACCAACAGCTTTTCACCTCAGTTTGCCTTGATTCATCTTGGGGTAGCACTGCCGATGATGTCCAGAACTGTGCACTTCTCGCAGAACATGTCGGTGCCAGAGTCAGCACCTCAGTTTGCTATTTTTCTTGCGGACCGCAAAGGTTGCCTTATAAGGACATATGCATACAGCATACACATGCATTTTCTATCCGATAAAAGTCTGCAATACCTTGCCGCATATTTTTCTGCACTGCTGGTGTGTGTCTTCCACATCACTTTGGCAATTCCAACCCTTTCCACCCTTTCGGCCTAAGTTCCACACTGACTCGAGTAGGAGTGGCATCAAAGAGCGTCGGTGCGGCAATCACATCCATGGCCTGAAGCATGTGCAATTTTCAAAGCTCATGATAAAATATGATAAAATGATATAACATGTTCATCTGAGTGAAATCAACTTACCAACCATGGCCAACCTCACTCTGGTGGTCGATTTCTATCTATGGGAGCTTTCCAAGTCTGAGATACAGGCAATTGGCGGTTCTGACCAGTGCACCCCGCCGTTCAACCTTGCTCCGCCAGGACTGCGGTCATTTGATGCGACATGCCGATGTTTTCTTGCAGAACAAGACATGCAACTGCCTGGGACGGATACACAGTGATACACACTACAAATTTTGCCAAATAATCATAAATAATCCCAAAGTGTTCTAAGAGTCAAGCGATACTTTCAGCTGGCATTTGCTGCGGCCACTCAGGCCAGACCAAAGACGCCCCACCTTTGATGGTCAGAGGATGGTCAGAGGTTCTTCCATGCCGTTCCCATCCCAATGGCAAGATGGCAGATGGCTTGGCAGATAGTTGTAGTATGTTGTAGTTTCTTGATCTGCAACTGGTGCAAAGATGTCGAAATAAGGATGGCCTGTTCCTCCAGTTTCGGGGCAGTATGGGGGAGTGACTTCATTTTACTCTTCCCGGTGCCTGCGGCAGTGGACAAGAAATCAAGCCTTCATCCTCCATGCACGCACAGAATCGCAGCTGAAATCAGTTTTCTGGTAAGGGTTTTAACTTTCCTAGCTTTTGATGTGTTTGATGTTCTGGTGGTCAGTGGTCTTGTGATGTTCTTGAGCATCAAGCTGCTACTAGAGCAGAGCTTTGCCATTTGCACAAGATTCTCTACTTGTGTTTCAGCATGGGGGCTTCAGAGATGCATCAGCTGTATCTCTCCTGACTTCGGATGTATCCAAATTCAGTTGCGACGGAGCCGTTGATGAACTCCACATCATAGCCTAAAGAGCTTGAGATAGTTTGAGTGTAACTTTGAGGCACATCAAGACCCTTCGAACATGGATGATAAGGATGAATAAGGATGAGGTTTCTGCACGGGAAAGAGACACAATGTGAAAATATGTCAACATTCTGATATATAATATAATTAATACATATGATACAGTAATGGACTCTTAGCATTGAAGACTTACACCTGATCTTGTGAGCTGGCAAAGTTTCGGACAATGCTCCATGCGACAAAGAGGTTGCACATCGATGGGCACACGGCCTTGTGGAGAGGGCTGATATCATCCCAGATTCTTGGAGTATCTTAGATTGACACCCATGGCCTGCCATCTTGATGTCAGCTGTCAGGTGACTTGATCCTTGGACACTGTTGGAAGTTGGAATAACTTGGAGTTGATAACTGGGACTGAGAAACCAAGGTGAAAAAAAAACATCGCCACTTGTTCAACTCGTGGCAACTCGTGGCAACATGGAAAGTGTTGCAAAATACTGGCAATGTGTAGCAACTTGCGGCTAGGGTCTTAAAAATGCTAGTGTCCAAGCCCCGTGCCGACCATGACAAGGGGTTTGGATGTCTGCGCTGCATCCAAAGTAGGCAAGACCTTTTCTGGATCAACATTCCGAATGGATCGAAATGTCAGGTAGATTAAAAGCAATCTGAGAGCTCGCAGCTTTCTATATCTGTTCATTAATTTGCGAATTGCAATAACCTGTTCAATCATGTTTAATTCTGTTTAATCATATATAACTGTCATGGAACATGTCAACTATTTCAAAACTCGGATATAATTTCAGATGTCATCTCTGTTGCATGATGTAACGCATGATGCAACGCATGTATCACTTCAGTCCAGCCTGGATGGGAATTGGCTCAAGAGACAGGGGCGGATCGAACGGCCTGTCTGGACCTGAGGATCCCATGACAGCGCAGGGGCATAGTGATGTAATACCCTCTGATAAACTAACATAGCTATTGAACATAGCTCATTTATAGATGGTTTACCCATTAAAAATGGTGATTTTTCATAGTTATGTTAAATTACCAGAGGGTATACTGCTCATGCTACACTGGGATTCTGCAGATTCAGAATGTGAATCTGCTCAGCAATGCTCAGCAATGCTCAGCAGATCAGTCAGGCCGTTTCGTACTGGCCTCTGTTCCGAAGCCAGCACTACAATGTGATGCTGCTAAATGCAGCGTGACTCTCAGGGCAGTGCTGAAGACTAAAGACCTTGGCATCTGAAGAGCAATGGCACGAATCAAAACTCAAATCAAAGGGCATATGTAATTAAAAATTCAATAACAACCCACATCCAACCCATCCAATTCTACATTGCCGCCCTGACATCACAAGCGTCCGTTCATCGCTCTGGCGTTCACAACAGTCATCCACGAGTTCCCAACACACTGAGGATCACGTCCGGCGGAAAGCCACCGTCAGGGGAGTGGCCTCAGTTCCCGTCTTTTCGGGGCATCGGAGGTGCTCAACGTTCATGTCATAGACAATCATGTCATGAATCAACTGTTGGCTTGGAGACCAAATCGGAACCAAAACTCACAGTCAAGAAGAAACGTGGGATACCGGGATACTATACCTGGATATCATATAATCATATGATTTAACTACATATATTTACCCTCTGGTTATTCAACATAGCCATGGGAAATGGCCCATAGAAATAGATGGTTTACCTATTAAAAATGGTGATTTTCCATGGCTATGTTTAATAACCAGATGGTAATTAACTATATTTAACTATGATGTATTTACATTGTCCCTGCAATTTGCTGGGTCCCAAGCAGGTCCAGGAGATGTTTGGCATCCGTCGAACAGCCTCGTGACTGCCCCAGCTCTGATCCGATCGATGAATATCTATGAAAATCTATGAATATCTCTGAACGAATGGTGCTAATGATAAAATATAAAGACTTAAACATGACATAAACCATGTATTTTTCGCAAGTGACGTTTACTTCAAAACTGTCCAGTCCTTCTGTTCAGTGGTGTCGAAAGGCAAAGCTCGCATTCGCAGATCATCTTCAGCAATTTTTCCTGCACAAGATAATTCAGAAATTGCCATCCAGTAGGAAAAGAGTAACCTCTCACTGGATGGGTTGCATCGTATCATGTCTGTATTGTGGATGTGTACGCATGCTCAGGGGAACTCAGTATTGGTTTCGCAAGAAAGCATAGAAGAATGGCGGTTGTCCAGTGTTGTTTCGTCCGGCTTTGTAAAGGATACAGGCATCTAACTTCCTAGGATCTTGCGTGCCTTCTCAAACGTAGAGTATTGGATATTTAAAGTATATTCAGTTTGATTCAAACATATTCAAGTAATTTCAAATATATAATCGAACAATATCAAACATATAATCAAAACAAATTACTGTTGAACGTCGCCAAAACATATCTGCCATCAAGAGACACTCGATTTTCTGTACTGAGCTGTGAGGCCAAGAAAAGTCTCTTCAACCTCATGCTCTCCAGAGGGAAAGAATAGAGCCGCTAAAGGCTCTGTGAGACAGGCTGGGCCAGCTATGCCAGGAAGTCAGCAGCTGCTTGTTCATCGAAGTGAGGCAATAAACGAGGCTTGGAAATCACAAACGACAATACCATGAGGCATCAAAACAAGTTCCAGCATAAAACAAATCAAATCATGAATGAGTTCTAGTCACCACAACTGCAGCGCCAGCACAGCTGGGTTCTGGTAGTTACGAGAATTGGCATTTTGTGGAGTCCCCGCTTCGCGGGGTTGTGAGAAGTCAATGGCTGCAGGCCTTCTATAACGACTTACAGGATTTGCAGCGGCTTTGAAGTATCGAGTGATTCCATCAGAGGGAAATATGTGATGGAGAGCTGGGAGGTCAGTGGTGAGATGTGGTGAGTACTCCTTCACTACGTTCAGCAATCCGTGAACAACATAAGTAGTCATTACCATGTCATTTCCATGTCATTTCCATGTCATTTCCATGTCATTCCCCTTGGGATGTTGGACCTTTGATGGGCCTTACCCAGGCCATCAAATCCATCAAGCTGAAGACGCAGGAAGGAAGTTGTGTTGTCATGCGGGATCAGAAGCTACTAGCAGCTACTGCATATTGTAATCGTAAATCTGTAGGCACATCTTCTGTAGAAATATGGACTTCAGAATGCCGCGCTTTCACATCTGAAACCCAATCGGCTTCCACCAACTTGTCGTTCATAACGTGTGCTGACCCTGCACTTGGTGCTCTTGGAAAAACATTTCTTCAATGGTAATGGAAGATTCCAAACGAAATGTGGAAAGCCTTGGCATCTCTTTCTGCACAAAAAAAGGGATCTGGTTGAGGCTTGGGATATTTTGATCAAGTGGCGTGAACGGGGCACGATTTGGCTCTCTCGTACAAACCGTTTGGACTTGGATTAAGATCAAACAAGATGTATATATAATTCAGGATCAAAACTCTGGATTCTTCAATGCACTCTTCTCACCCCTTCCCTCATCCAAATTTGTGGCCCTACTCGATTTCCTCGATTTCCTCAATTTCATCATCATCATCGAAGTGCTTCTTCCCTCGTCTGCTGCGACGTCTGTGGAGTCGAGCTACCTGCATGCTGCAATGGCTGTGGGCGTTTCTGTGATCACAATGCTGCAATAATGTTGCAATAATGATCAACAGTGATCAACAATCTGTTCATGGTTGTTCTCAGCGTCTCTGATGGACATTACCAGTCCTGCTCCAACTGAGTCTTGCTCTTGTCCCTGCTACCATGCGGATATTACAAATGACACCTCTTAGGGCTGGAGAACTGCGGTGCATATCTTCTTTCGACCCCATCCTCTGTCCGCATTTCCACCTTACCTCATCTCAAAATATCATAAACTATCACAATATAATTATATATATATACAAGCGAAAAACAAGAACCCCACACAGTGATGTGGGGAATAATAATATATTATATATATATATATAATAATAATAATGTAAAATATTGCAGTGAATCCTCCTTCCTGAATTTCTCATGGAAGCCACCCTGCATCGCCTGTCCAACATTTTTGCCAAGCAGTGGTCGAACATTTTCCAGGAGTTTTTCCTGGCTCTTCAACACTTGCTTCTCCGTGATCAGAACTTGACCTGGAATCCGCGGTCTTCATAGCAATTTCTATCAAACACATCATGAAATGGGATGACATATCATGATATCAACGCATATACTGATTATATACAATGATATACATACAGTTTATCCTCGATGTGTTTCCATTTTGTTGTGTTTCAACATGGTCGCGAATACGTTTAGATATCAAGATATCAAGAGTCTCGTTTGGAGGCAAAATTGTCCGTGCCTGCTGGAATACACCTTGCGCAGCCGTGCATCAGATTCACCATAGCCTTGGTATAGCTTCGCAGGAGCTGTGGCATGCTGTATGTTGTAACAAAAGAGGTCGGCAATGCAAATTCTGAAGCAAAAACAAGGTCACAACACACCAAAATATCAGAAAAAAATCACCTGGTCAGAAGACACGTGTGGCCAGGGTGAGCTGTTGAGTTATGGCAGCGATGTCTTGCTCAAATCTTTGCACTTGCCGTACGTTTCGATTCATCTCCTCAACCTCGGCTGTGGATCCTGTCAGTCAACACCTGTCTCTATATCCTGTGAATAAGCGTGGATATGTAATGGTAGTATGTAACAGCTAGACAATGTATAATGACACTATAATATATCTATATATATAATTTAATGTATATAAGTTGAACCATGCATGTATATAATATATATTTATGCAATTCAAACATATGAGTTCGGACTTCGGCACGGAAAAGTATTTAAAAAAAAAAAAACGTGCCCTCTGATGTCAGGGACGCACATCTCCAAGCGATGGGCAGCATTGCCAACCCGTCGATTGATCGCAAAGAGATCTTTGGCCTTCGTCTCCTCCGAGATGATGCGCAAGCCTTGTGCAAATTGATTTACAGCAATCTCCCCAGTGCCCACGTCAATGAGATTCCAAAGTTCTTCAGCATGCTCGATTTCCAGGGTCACAAACTTGGTTTTAATCACATCGTTGGCCTCCACTGCTTCCATGTATTCATCGTAAGTTAGCTTTCCTGTCCCTCTCTTGTCCATCTCGCCAAAGAGATTCCGAATGTCTTCAATCAACTTGTCATTTTTCTCCTGCAGCTTGGGCATCCACTGGCCCGATTTCCGCTAAGCTTATGATCCCAGCTCAGTATCGGTATCGGCATCTCTCCAACCCCTGGAGTCTTGTCCCGGGATGGCCAACATAGCAGAAAATCACGTTAGACTGAGTTAGACTGAGTTAGACTTTAGCAAGTTGTTCCATGCCAGATTTTGAGTAGAGACTGCAGAGAGAAATACAACATGTAACAACCTCTAGTCCTAGCACATCACAGCGCTGCAGTGTGCCAGCTGCCGGAGTTGTGGGACATTGTGTGAAGATGACTAACGCATGTTGCTTGACGGCTCCTTCTTCTCGCGTGCCACCATCTCGTGATCTGCGGCTTGTCTCTCGAAAGCAGCGTTCACAATGGTGGCCGTCACCAAGTTCATAAGACAAAGCTCAACAATCAGAACGGTGGTGACCTTTGTTCTTCATGGGATCTTTTCACGAAATGTGCTGACATTTTTCTCAACGGATGCTTCCAACAATACTTGTATCTGTATCATAGTCAAAGACTTGGATACTAAGGCATGAAAACCAAGTGTACTGGACGGCGTGTGGGATCACGTGTTCAAGTTGCACTTAATGTCAGCTCAACATGCCTGGCAAAACTACCATACGGATAACACCTGGAGCAGCACCTGAAAGCATCCCAAAGCAATGATTTTTTTGAAATGGGCCATCCTGGTGCCATTTCTGTGCTGAGGGACAATGATAATTCCGGCAAGAGGGCTCGTTTCTCCCAGTGGTCGGGAGATACCCGTCCAGCTATCCAAGGTCACAATCTGGAACAGCGTGAAAAATGCCTGCAATGCAAAGGATGATTGTGGATGATGCACAAGTGTATCATATGTGACATATGTATACATATGTGTATATGTTGCTAGATGACGCTATATGTTGCTACTATGTTGTTATTCAGTATTCCATGACAAACAATATGCTTGGAATTTTGTTACTTCATGCTTGGCGGAAATGCTTGGAATTCGATGGAATTCCACTGAATGCGGAACCATGGATTCTTTCGGGTTCTTCCACAAAGAAAATGGCTGTCATGTGCCCTGGCAGCCGGAATGCGTGCCCTGTGGGTTTACAGCCCCGAGTTCAGAGCGCCTCAGGAACGGATGGGAAGTAGAGCAGCACCAGTGGGTGATCCTTCGTAATGTCATTCTTGGTGATGAGCACCACTGCAAACACCGCGAAGATGAACAAAGTTGTACCCATCATCAGCAGGGTGTAGATGAGAATACGACCACTGCCGATCAATCCCTGCATGACATGGCTACAGGATGCTACAGGCCCTTTGCAGCTTGGTGAGAAGCTTGGAAGTACTATTTAGTCTCACCTGTCCATGTTCAAACATGAAACAATTCACAGTTCGGAGAAGCTCCGGGCAATGAGACTGGATTCAATATGCTTTAATATATTTAATAGATTTTATGTCCTTTATATATATATATTATATACATATAATATAATAATATCATATATAATATTATATAATATCATATAATAGAATATATGTCTGTAAAAGTGCATGCGTGGCAGTGCGTAGTCCTTTGGTTTTTGAGGGTTTTTGCATGGTTTTGCAACCTGTAGCCTGGAAGAGGTTCCACAGAATCTTCAAGCGCCGATATTTTCGAATCAATCGGCCCAGCTTCACCACCCGAAAAAGTCTCAGGACTGCGAAGGGTCTGACAACGGCATTGTCAATACCCATCGGCAGAAAGACCCAAACCTTAGAAAACTGTAGTCCAAAACAAAAAAAACAGGTGCAATTGCTGGGTGTTTGCAGGTCACACGCCCCTATTACGATCCTTTGCGGAATCAAAGAAAATCCTCAGATGTAGTATAAAGCTTGTCTTCACAGCAGAATGCATAGGTCTGCCAGGGTGTCCACACCATGAAGAGATAGCAGATATCGGCTTTCTCAAATCATATCCAGCCATGATGCGGGTATGACATTGGTGGCAAGCACAATGATGACGTCAAAAATGTTGCTCAGTTTGCACCACCACCGCCAGCCCTGGTCTGCTTCGACAAACTCAACAATTGTGCATGGAAAAGATACGCATATCCTCAAATCATGTCAAATCAAGATTGGTAACATGCAATAGGGGCAACTGCAAATACAAGAGGGTCCAAGCTAGGAAACATAGCGGCAAAATTAAAAGGGACTCTTGGTGTAATGACCGCTCGGTGTGCGTGTAATTGCTTGCCATTCAACTGTATCCAGCCTCGGGCAAAGCACGGACAAAGAGTTCGAGCACAAATGCAAATGTAAAAAAGAAATCCAGCACGGTGTAGAGTGTTTCAGCATCTTTCTCTCCTTCACCCGCCGAGACTTGAAATCCAATCATGATGGCATTCGCCAACATGATGCTTCCCATAGCTGATTCAAAACGGTCCGAGTGCACCAAGGCATCCAGAAACGGAAAGCGATTTTGATATTCAGGATCCGCACGACGAAGATCGTGCTCTTTGATCTTCTGCCGGATCCATTTCACCCCAATGGCTGCTAGAAACTTTGTGAATGGAGTTGGCATTTCTTTGTGTAGAAGAATGTCCTTCAGCATCACATTCGATGAGTGAGTCCAGTGTTCAGACCTTAGACTTGTACACGGAACAAATGGAATAGTTCCGGGTCTTGCAAGTTGAGAAGGAGTGATGATACTGATACTACTTACAATGCCCCATATGCGAAAATATGCGAAAATGCTTGATGCATCTTGGTGCGTAAGTTACAAAGCACTACCAACACCGAGAAAATTGGCACCACTCAGCGGAGGAACTCTTTGGTCACTATTCGATCCGGTGTCTCGCCCATCTTCAGCAGAGTCTTCAAACGGTGGCCTTCTTCTTTGGAAAGCCATCCACTCTTCACTCTGAGCTCGATTTCGGCCTCCCAATCACTCCTTACCACACGGATCTATCCCACAGTAGTCCCAAACAAACGGCGGCCAAAAGGTGCATGGAAGAGGAAGAGAGAGAGAGAGAGACAGAGAGAGAGAGACAGAGAGAGAGAGGGGGAGCGAGAGCGAGAGCGATGTCTGGAAAGAGACCATGCGGCTGACAAGAGTTTCGCAAAATGCAGCATTCTCATGGCATGGTTGCACCCATTGGTTAGAAGGCCTTAAACACTCAGCATCTGGGTGTGCGTTGGAGGGAATAGATTTGAAACGACTGCCCAAGTTCCATTATGACCCCATGTGTACATGATGCTCCCAATGATCCCAATGATCGCAGGACCCAAAAATCTTGAGGTTCCTGACAAGAGACGAACTGCCGGCCATGCCGACCTCTTCTGCAAGGCCACAGGATGCCACAGGTGCCGGCGGCGCATCTGGAAGATTCAGCTTGGTCTAGGTGACACACTCAGACTCGCAGCCAATGATTTGAGTGTGATAGAGTCTTAGTATGTTATAGTCAATAGAAGCACTTTTTTCCACACTGCATATCACTGCGTGAAAGAGTCTTGAGGGATCTTGAGTGTAAGTTTTAGCCAGAAACGGTTTTACAGTGGTTTTGACTATCTTGACTTCTTTAGCCATACAACCGCATACAACATCATACAACTATGTGTTTCCCTAATCCTGAGCCCAAAGAGATCGCACCACCAGCAACGGCTGCATTGGCAAACACCTTCTTTCAGGATGGCTTCATGATGCTACCATCCTTAGGCATCCTCAGGACGTCTTCCCACTTGATTCAACTTCACTTAATCAGAAGTTCAACTTCACTAGGCAAAGTGGGCTTGTTACGCTTGTTAGCAAGACGTGTGGTTTTTTTAAACCCAAGGTTGCCTTGCTGTGAGTGCTCTGGCTTGTGCCCCTGGCCCTTGGAGTATGCTGAACAACACATGTGCCATGCCAAGTGTTGCTCAAGAGGACGCGGCTCAACATGTCCGTTGGCAGCTAGGATGGTCAACTTCACAGGTTAGGATGGTCAGGATACTGGTTTCACAGGTTGTTTCAACTTGTTTCAACCCACTTTCGTAAGGTGGGCAAATTGGTCTTTTGACTTCCAAAAGCATGATAAGGAAGCAAGACGAAGCAAGTTTAGCCTTTGGAATCCTTTGGAATCCTTTGGAATCCTTTGTCGGTCCTGGCAAGACATTGGGGTCCAGCATCACGGCAGGTGTGGGAGCAGCCTCGGTTTTGAAATTGATAGACGAGCTGTGTCCTTCATTCGCTTCATTTCCACGATATCAATGAGATCTATGATGATCTATGCTACGATTGCGCTAGGTACAAGCCATTTATATCAACCCATATCCGTGTATTGAACAAATCATCCCCCTATCAATGACATCCAATGACTGTCATGTCTGTCACAGGAAAATCACCCCAGCTACCGCAGATTGCTGAGCTGAGGAGCCACAGAAGGCATCCCGAAATCGCACCAAGCTGTTGTAGCTTTCTTCAAAACCTTGTCACGAGTGTACCAGCTCAAAACCGCTTGCCTTTGGTGCAACTCAAACCGCTTCTGGTCTAGTGAAGCTTGGCCAATGACCTAAATGCGATGCTGTAAATACCACAATTCATTTTAAGCAAAGTTCAAGCCAGTGCTTTCTGCAGAGAGCCTGGTAGTGCAACAAGGACTCCGCAGTGGTCGTCAGGTTCAAGGAGATGTTCTGGAATGGAGGAACCAAACTTGGCCCCGAGATCTGCATTGACGCCTCCAAAAAATCAGCCAAGTCTGGTTGTTTGCCAAGTGGTGGCATAGTGGCATAGTGGCATTCTTGAACACACTTTTGCTCCAATAGTAACACTATTGGATTTCAATGAAAGCGAATCGGAGAATCATCGAATCCTCTGTCTGGCTCATTGCTATTGAAAAGCCCGACCAATGTGTGACCGTAGTTTTCAAGATTGTGGAGGTAGAAAGTCTATACTTTACTATGGCAGTTGAGTCTGAGAAGAGTCGACAGTCTCCATACCAACTACCAACTGTAGTGTGACATTGTATCCCTTCTGAATCCTCAGTAGGATTCTAAGTGTTCTGTATTGTCCTGAGAATGTCCTTACGATGCCCGGAGAATTCAATGCAGATAATGATATAGTTATATATAATTGGCTTGTTTATCTGGAAGAATAAAAGAAAACAATTACAGAGAAAAGGATGATGCATTTTCTGTTCAAGCAAAGTTGAGGGATAAAACAGACTATGCCATCTGAGTACATCTGAGTACATGTGAGTACATGTGAGTACATGTGAGTACATGTGCTATCTCCTTTGTCCCGAGCTTCTTCCTATTGAGGCCGGCCTGTCGAACGAAGAAGACTGGCAAAGCATTGGACCAGACCATGCCATCGACAGTGACTGAGAGGTATGCCCTGACGGTCAAGCCGTCGGACTTCAACATGGCTGGAATGTGCTGGTAAACATACAAAAAACTATGGAAAATCACCATGTTTAATGGGAAAATCCACTATAAATGGCCATTTTCAATAGCTATGTTAAATTACCAGAGGGTAATGCTTGCTACGCTTGCTATTTTGCAGATTTTTAGCAGAATCCAGTTGAAGATTCGAAGCTTCATTTGACATCGATGTATTCCAATTTTTTACTATGGAAGAGCTTGGAGAACAAAGTCAAGCAAGTTGCTTCTCTTCACACCAGTTGCTTCCCTTCAAATCAAAATGTTGAATCTGTTAACGGCATTCAGCGACTACAAAAAAACAAGGCCAACACACCCGAGGACCCCGCTTCTCATTTAGATAGAGCCTTGGTGGCTTGCGCAAGGATCTTCCGCAACATGCAGCTTAGGCCCAAAACTCTTGATGTTCTTCAAGTATCCTTCGCTAACTCGGTGAAGGTGTGTCCAAAACTTGTCGTCTCAGTTCAAAGATGTAAACACATGGACAAATTATGGAAAGACTGCATCCCTCCAGCGAACAGGCATAGCTGATGTCTCGGGAATGCAGACTACAAGGCATGTAATCTGCCAAGACACTCATGTTGCTGTACTCTGCAAACCACCTCACCGCATGTCCAGCACCATTCGGCAATGATCAAAGCCAGCGAGACTGAAACACATATATAATCGTACAGTATATAGAAAAACGTATATATAATTTATGTATCTATGATGTGTCTATACTGTAATATAATAATATATATATATACATCGGGAGAACGTGTTTGGTCGCGCCAATGCTTTTGCTGATTAGAATCCGCTCAGTGTGTATACAGTTGAACACGAACGTTATTAGGGGGCTTGTGAAACGTGCACAACTTCTGTGACACGTGCACAACTTCTGTGAAACGTACACAACTGCTGGGAAACGTGCACAACATCTCTGACACGTGCACGACATCTCTGACACGTGCACAAACGTGCACAACATCTCTGAAACGTGCACATATAGAATACTTGAAAACACTGGGTGGGGGCGGTGAAACACGTTATACCCATATCATATAATATCATATATACATATAATATACGATATTAATCAGTCTCAGTATAATTATATTGTATAATATTATGTCAGTTTCTCATGGCTTCTCATAGTTTTCAAGCTCCGCACGCCCTACAAAGAACCTTTAAGGGCGAGCAGGACAAAGTGAGTTTTATAGGTTTATGGTAAGATTGGTGCCCACCTCAGTCTCATTCAAAACCAGAGCCGTGAAGAACCGCTCCTCGCACAACAGAGAGCGCTGGCTTCTCACCAGTAGACTGACTGCAATAGAAGCCTAGTCTAGACATGTCTAGACTGTCTGCTTAAGTTTTCTTATCGGCTTTCAGCTCTTGTCCAGAAGCTAGGGAGCGCCTCGGGGAAACAAATCAGGAAATTTCAGGAATCTTTTGACCTCCTTTCCAGCCTTTCCATGGAAAGTCTTCAAAGCAGCTGGATAAACCCTGTCCTCCAAGGAAGAGAAGTCCCACTGCAGGCGACACCTGGAAGCAAGACATAGCGAGTGCTACACGAAGGCAAAGATGACTTATACACCATGATCTTTACAATTTTTTACATCCAAAATCATCCAAATATGAATAAACATGGCAATCCATGTATATATATATATATATACAGTATATATGTACACATAGATATATCATCATATATCGACTATCTGTATGATCTGTCAATTATGAGAGGTTTCTACCACTGAAATGACATATCCAACCCGTTTCGCAAAATCTTTAAGCGACGAACCTCCTCTGATCGCTCCGCGCCATGTGCTTCAAGAAGAACTCCCTGGGACAGGCCAAAATCCATGGCGGGTCTTGTACCCTCTGGTTATGACTAACATAACTATTGAAAATGGCCATAGAAATAGTGGATTTACCCAGCTAGAAAATGGTGGATTTGAAAAATAGCTATGTTAAATTACCAGAGGGTAGGTATTCCGTTTCGGGAGGGTGTTAGAATCACGTCGTCAAAGCACCGCTGCAACGAAGCCCCTGATGCCACCACAGCCGTCAACTCCTTCTTGATTGGATATTTATGGAACAAAGATATTCGGGAACATGATCAACAGAAATATCGCTTGCTTTATTCCATTCCAATCCAACGTAGACGTCTGCCAAATTGCTACCCTTCTTGCGTTCATTCTAGAGAACTCTGGGCCATCGAACTCTCCCATCACTTGGATGAGCAAGGGCTCTACACTGCTAGTGTCATTCTTTTCCACGACAGAAGACACCTCCGCCGACTCCATGCAGAATGAAACATCATGAAACATCATGAAATGGCCCAAGTTGCAGCACAAATCCAAAGTCCAAGTTGTGGCACAAATCATGACACATTTACGCTAGGGCCTCGGGATCTACTTGCCGAATTTGGACACGTGGAAGAATGTAGATGTCCGGCAACTCAGCGACCTCGAACTGACTCGAATTCACGGCAAAATCAAGCCGGTGAATTTATTGTCAAACTCTTGCAATGATTGTAAAAATATATAGCATATTGTATCATTATTATTTATTGTTATTATACAATTCATCAAATATTATTTGTAAGTATACGTCTTTTGTCAATTCGCTTCTGTTACCGCCTTGTGGGTATGGCAATAATTTGAACCAAAACTATTGCCGAACGATTCGGCTTAAGGTCTGAGTCCCTGCCTGCATCAAATAGCCAGTGTTTTTCTTGGCAACCAGGTAGGCTGTGAGCGAGCGATTCGTCATCATGTGGCCCCTGCAGCTGTGCACAATTCCGGCACTCAACTCTGCGGGGTTGAGTACGAGTCTCTCCTTACCATGTCTCTTGATCTTCCATTCAGAAGTGACCATTGGAAAACAACAGACCCAACTGTCTCCGATTTGAACATATGGTCACGTCCCGCATCCAGCTCTTTCCCCCGGAAATCATTTGGTTCCCAGGTCTTCCCCAGCCTCATGGTCATTGCTAGAGAAGGAACGTTGCATCTCACTTCCCCGCTGGAAACGTAGTCAGCGGGTATAAAAGCCAACGCTCCGTCCCAAGAGACGTTGGCACCTGTGCAGAGACGTAGCACGGTACCACACATATTACAGTATATCCTCAGGCAAATCCAAAGCGTGATCAGCATCGATACATTAGTCAATTGTAGGCGCATTTTGCATTTTTTTCCGGAAATCATAAGGTTTTGCAATTGATCTGGGGTCTCTGGAAATGGATTCTTGGGTCTTTCCAAATATTTTATGTATGGTGGAATTGAATTATATTATAGGTATCTTATTAGTTCCCCTATGAGGTAACCAATTGGTTGATTAAATGGGTATCATCTTACCATTAATTGTTTTTTTAATGTATCTATTTGTTTTCTACCATGCTCATAAATAATAATATGCACATTATTATTTTCACTCTTAGGCAACCAATTGGTTGATTAAATTGGTATCATCCCAGTATCGATTACGATTATTTGTTCTATCATATTCTTTGGATAAACAGGGGTCCACTACCATTTCCCTTAAAGGGTACCCCGCCAATGGCTGGATTAAAATGGAATAGGTATCATCCCTTTATAGGGTATGTACTATATCTATGTGTTTCAACCACGCTCATGTTTCTTCTAGGGTGGTGCCCCCATATACCTGTGGTATAAAGCCACCTATATTTTCCCTGATGATCACTCTTTTATTTCCCCAGTTTTTTCTACGTCTACATCATATATCCTTTAAATGCAATATCCAATTATGATTTTTGCCGAACTCAGGGTGCAGAAATCTGCACCTTGACTTAGGCAAAAAAGTGTTTTTTTGGCCGATATCCTAGGTGCTTGTTGGGGAATTGCCTAAGTCAAGGTGCAAATTTCTGCACCTAGACTTTGGCAATACAGAGGTTGTACCCTAGGATTTAGGAAAAAAAGATATATATTTTTTGCCGATATCAGGGTGCAGAAATTTGCATGTGGACTTAGGAACCAGCCTTTCTATTATATTCTACCATGATTTTTCCCGCAATGGATTCGGGGTCCTTCATTTTGAGATTTGGGCAATTTTTTTTTTGCCGATCTTTTGGCTCGGGGGACCCCAAATCCATCGCCACCGCAAATCCGTCGCATAACAATATTTTATTTTATATTTTATCTAAGTACTCAACCAAGAAAAACGTTTCTGAACTACGATCGAATTGGTGATCGTTTGTTCTGACTGGTACTTCCACGAGTAGAAGGGTAAATGGTACTGCCTTCTTGGCATGACTACCGAATGACGGATAAGAATTAATAATATTGAAACAGCCAATGGACACTAACCCAAAACGATTTTCCTTTGGGAAAAACTTCACTGGTATATACCATGGCCACCTACCTTGATAGATAAGATAGATAAAGAATGATAAAGAAATAAATGCTGGAAAACATATATCACACAATCAGAGGTAGAACTAAATCACCAAGAACCCTAGAATCAAATTCCAAAGGCCCCTTATCGGCTGCAAAACCATTCATGAAGGATCTCAAAGCGACACTTGTTCTGGCATTACCAAGACAAGGTCCACAAATGCTGGCCTGCGAGTGCACAATGAGGCTCACGCACATCTTGCCTGAGACATCTGAGACCGCCGAGAGTTAAATGGCCATTTGCAATCCATTTGCCACTTTAAAACCATTTAAAACCATCGTTCAAATCTGCTTGCGACTTGCGACTTGCCATTCACACCAGAGGCTAGCACCATTGATGGGTGTAGTCAGCTTCAGGAACTGCTGGACAACTGTCCTGAAGGTGCGATGTGACCAGCGATCTCAAAGCCAGTGTTGTCCACTGGAATCCCAGGGCTTAGGACAGAAAGCATGAACAAAATAAGGATTCAAAGTGCCAGGGATTTTGGCAGAATCTGTATTGTACTGTTGTAACCTTGGACATGATTTGATGCGACAATGATTCCATTGATACTTGATTTCAAAATGCTACGAGGACTTCACATCTCTGAAGCAGGCTCATAGTATCTTCAGTTCCATGCAAAGTTGCCCCATCAATAAGGCATCGCAGCGATTTTGCGCAATTGTCCTCAATGAGCTCTCGCCACATGCTCTCTTGCCGTACCTTAAAGGACTCGAAGGTGTAGCCTGTCAAACTGCGAGAAAGAGCCAATGTGTTTGAATGCGCTCAGCGTCTCATGCACTCACCCGTTTTCCTTGCGAAGTCCCGAGCACCTTGAGAAGTATGGTCATAGAGGACACATGCCATCTCGACCTTGCACATGCCACTGGAAACACGGATCATCGAGTCGACTTGAAATATAAGAAGGTTCTTGAAATATAAACAGTACCGACTTGATATGCGATGAGTCAAATCATACAGCTTGTAAAAATCAGTTTTGACAAGTGTCCGAAAACCATGCAACAAACAGCCTCTTTGCCACTCGGAAATATCTGGAAACTATCTGTGTCATCATATGTCATCCTTCAATTCAGTACTCAGTTTGGCCAAGAAAGCGACATCTGAGGGGAAGTTGGCTCCGCTGATGACCAAATCCAGGTCGCTGCCCACGGTCCAAATACTTGGAGCCTTAACACACGACAGCGTGGATACAGCCTTGGAACCCAAACTTCGTGTACCCTTCCAGGCAACAATCAGAAGCACTGAACAAGACTTCAAGCAGATCCATCGAAATGATGAGAGGTCTTGAATGGTCTTGATCTTCTCTGGTCCACATCTATCGCCAGGATCCAAAAGATCGATACAATATCCACACTAGAAAAAGGCATGGTGTGCCTAGTCAACATGAAGGACCTACGATGCCCATCGATGCCCTACGCTTAGGCCTTCAAGGCCCTAAAGACTCTAAACCCACAAACCCACAAGCCGTCAGCATCCCTCAGCTTTGTCCCTGCGCACCATATGATGAACCTCTGGCGCTTTCAGAATTCGCACCGGCTGACCTGGAGCTTTCAGAATGTCCGCAGGTTTGTTCAAGTTTGGAGTCATGGAGTCCTGGAGCTGAAGATGCCGGTGCTAAGCAAAGAGAGGACATGCTTCAGCTGCGGTGCTACGGATGCAGTATGGATTTCCGACGAGAAATTCTGAGAAGAGAACCGAGCACTTCACTGATGGTGGCTTTCCCGTCCAAAGAGATGGACACATTGATCGAATCCTGCACGCATGGAAGGCATGGCATGCAGCCATGCACAGCTTTTCTGTGGAAAAGTGCGAACCAGAGATAGAACTGCAATCGAGAAGAAAGCGGAAGGATGACATGCTGATAGTGGTGAAGTATGGTGAAGTATTGGATATGGCTAGCTGGTATCACTCTGATAAGAATTTGCAGGACATCTGCAGAAGTTGCTCCCAATCCATTGCTGCAGAATCTGCCATAACGATAAAAATATAGTTAAACATTCGAGCTCTCAGTATCCCACACTGGCAGTGTCAGAGAGCGACAGCGCAGGGCAGGGACCTAGGAGAAAAGGCACACATGATTCACATGATTCACATGATGCCTCTGAAAGTATCTTCCTGTTACTGGAAAATCCTTGCGTCAAAAAATGCGTTATCATTTTGCAAAATCAATACATATCAATGCTGTATACGGCCTTTGCATTTTGCTTCTTCCTCAATCTTCCTCTTCTCTAGATTTTGAAGTCACGCAATAAGTTCCATGGCCTTCGGTGAAAGGCTCAATGCTATGCTGCTGGCACACAACCCGCATCGTGCTGTTCCAAGCATAGATAGTTGCCTGGCCAAACAAATTGGGTCGAGGAAAGATGCGGATTCGCAAGCTGATATTCTAGGCCTGGGCAATCGTGGGTCACGACACAAGGATCTTGGCAACGTTTTTTTCCCTCCTAAGATGTTTTCCCTTGCTCACAAGCAGTCTTGGCACAAATCGATCACAAATGTTTAGTCTAGGCCCCGGTTTGATAGTTCAGCAGTTCATTGAAGCCACTGCATTTGTTGACGATTTTTCTTGTCAGCAGGTGAAAACCGTGACCATCCTGACCCACCTCTGCATCAAACACCCGCGTGGGTGGTCCAACCTGAAATCCCACCCTCATTTGGCTGATCCTTCCGTTGCCCATTCAAACTTCGGAACCATGTGGACAGAATCACATGAGAGGCCTTTGTGTGTCTACAGGGACCGTGTTGAGTCAACACATGAAACTACTCTTTTCAAGTCATCTTTTCAAGCCCAAAAATCTTCCCATCTCTGACAGCCAATCCTTCAAGCCCAAAAATCTTGGGGCTTGCAGCCAAAGGACGGTTGTGAACAAGCAGAGGGCCTTGTACACTGAGTAACGCCACTCAACAAACTCCGCCTGCCAGGTTTAGACGGTTAGATTTAAAATGCGCCAACGTTATGGCACGCCCATGGTCCCACCTCAGACGCATACAGCACGACACTGTCACCTCGAGCCCCTGCAAAGCAAGCGGCCTCCTGGCAGGATTGGGATTTTCCAAGCTCTTCTATGTAATAAATATATCATTCGATATGTGTTTATATATATATATATAGTATGTCATATTTGCAATATAGTATATTGGACATCTATCATCTATCTATAAAACAGATAGATATAGAAGATAAATGAAGATAATAGATGAAAATAGTATATTATACTGAATAATATTGGTATAGAGTCATCAAATATTGGGGATGGCTAGAGATGCTGCCGGCTTCGCAGCTTCGCCCAGTGCACCTCTCGCAGGGAGAAGATCCACCTTGACAGGTAGATGGTAACTGTGGTAACTGGTAATGACATGAGCATCTTTGTTATATCATATATTATATATATCATATGTCTATTGAATACTGCGATATATCAAAGCTGGGAATAATAAAAAGTATCAATAAGAATGAAATAGAATTTTGTGATATGTAAGGATATGTAGTGATATCTATGTGATATTTATGTGATATGTAATGATAGTATATATGTTTGATAGTGTGTATTCAAATCGAATCTTTGGCCATGAAGAAGAAAAAAAACGTCATCAGCTTGGCAGCCGGACCGGGGATAGAAGGTGAAATCAACGGATGTCAGGGAGAGCCTTGAGCTCACGATCCAAAGCGGCCTTTTTCTGTGCAAGTTTGACCATGTTTGAATATGTTTGACATAGTTATGGAATGTTATGGAATGTTATGGAATGTTATGGAATGTTATGGAATGTTATGGAATGTTATGGAATGTTATGGAATGTTATGGAATGTTATGGAATGTTATGGAATGTTATGGAATGTTATGGAATGTTATGGAATGTTATGGAATGTTATGGAATGCTATGGAATGCTATGGAATGCTATGGAATGCTATGGAATGCTATGGAATGTTGCCGGACATGTTTGCGGAATGTTGCGGACTGTTGGCGCATGTTGGCGAATGTTGCGGACTGTTGCGGAAGTTTGCGGAATGTTGCGGAATGTGCGGAATTTGCGGAATGTTGCGGAATGTTGGCGGAATGTTGTTGCGATATGCTATGGAATGTTATGGAATGTTATGGAATGTTATGGAATGTTATGGAATGTTATGGAATGTTATGGAATGTTATGGAATGTTATGGAATGTTATGGAATGTTATGGAATGTTATGGAATGTTATGGAATGTTATGGAATGCTATGGAATGCTATGGAATGCTATGGAATGCTATGGAATGCTATGGAATGCTATGGAATGTTATGGAATGTTATGGAATGTTATGGAATGTTATGGAATGTTATGGAATGTTATGGAATGTTATGGAATGTTATGGAATGTTATGGAATGTTATGGAATGTTATGGAATGTTATGGAATGTTATGGAATGTTATGGAATGTTATGGAATGTTATGGCATGTTATGGAATGCTATGGAATGCTATGGAATGCTATGGAATGCTATGGAATGCTATGGAATGTTGCGGAATGTTGCGGAATGTTGCGGAATGTGCGGAATGTTCGGAATGTTGAGAATGTGCGGCATGTTGCGGAATGTTGCGGAAGTTGCGGATGTTGCGGATGTTGCGGAATGTTGCGGAATGTTGCGGAATGTTGCGGAATGTTATGGAATGTTATGGAATGTTATGGAATGTTATGGAATGTTATGGAATGTTATGGAATGTTATGGAATGTTATGGAATGTTATGGAATGTTATGGAATGTTATGGAATGTTATGGAATGTTATGGAATGTTATGGAATGCTATGGAATGCTATGGAATGCTATGGAATGCTATGGAATGCTATGGAATGCTATGGAATGTTATGGAATGTTATGGAATGTTATGGAATGTTATGGAATGTTATGGAATGTTATGGAATGTTATGGAATGTTATGGAATGTTATGGAATGTTATGGAATGTTATGGAATGTTGCGGAATGTTGCGGAATGTTGCGGAATGTTGCGGAATGTTATGGAATGTTGCGGAATGTTATGGAATGTTATGGAATGTTATGGAATGTTATGGAATGTTATGGAATGTTATGGAATGTTATGGAATGTTATGGAATGTTATGGAATGTTATGGAATGTTATGGAATGTTATGGAATGTTATGGAATGTTAGGGAATGTTATGGAATGTTATGGAATGCTATGGAATGCTATGGAATGCTATGGAATGCTATGGAATGCTATGGAATGTTGCGGAATGTTGCGGAATGTTGCGGAATGTTGCGGAATGTTGCGGAATGTTGCGGAATGTTGCGGAATGTTGCGGAATGTTATGGAATGTTATGGAATGTTATGGAATGTTATGGAATGTTATGGAATGTTATGGAATGTTATGGAATGTTATGGAATGTTATGGAATGTTATGGAATGTTAGGGAATGTTATGGAATGTTATGGAATGCTATGGAATGTTGCGGAATGCGGAATGTTGCGGAATGTTGCGGAATGTTGCGGAATGTTGCGGAATGTTGCGGAATGTTGCGGAATGTTGCGGAATGTTGCGGAATGTTGCGGAATGTTGCGGAATGTTGCGGAATGTTGCGGAATGTTGCGGAATGTTATGGAATGTTATGGAATGTTATGGAATGTTATGGAATGTTATGGAATGTTATGGAATGTTATGGAATGTTATGGAATGTTAGGGACACTTCATAAGAAATCACCAGGGTCTTTCTCGTCTTCACAGGAATCCGGCAGCTTCATCAAGCTTCATCAAGCTCCCGGCTCGTGCAGCCAGCTTGCCACTTTGAGCTTCGCTACTCCTGCAGCTTTGCTAGTCAAAGAATTCATACATGTAGTCAATGATTTACAATAATCATAATCAACATATAATATCATATAATCAACCAACGTCTACATGCGTCTACACAGCTGAAGAAACCGGCAACAGCATGCACTATCATGATGACAAACGCCCACCATCACCATCTATTTGCATCAAGTCCTGCCGGATGATATGCAGGTGTCGTGCCTCACGCAGCAACTGTCGACTTCCCCCAGCCGTTTTCATTCAACCACTATGGTCCCTAAACGAAGTAGTAGGAAAGCGCACCAGGTTTCTCTTGGGTGCCACACAATAGATCAAGCTCTCGTTGAAGTACCGCGCTGGCATGTATAGATTGTCATCCTTGGTTTTGTTGATGTGAGGGGTACACAAATTGTGTGGGGGTTGTCATTCAACTGTAACCCATCGACTTTGAGCACGGCTGGTCCGCACTCGTAGCATTGAATGATCTTCAGTATGAATTATATTTAAGGCATCCTTTTACTTGATGGCTCTTGATCATGTACTTGTCACAAAGTCAAAGTATTCTGCAGGGCTCTAAGCCTCCGGCAAAGGCACAAGACCTGAAAATGAACTCAAGAGACATATAGAAGCATAATGAAGCACATAGACAACGATTGTTAAAGATTGTTAAATAAAACGTCAAAGCCTAATTTCAAAACGCGTTTGGCTTACACCAAGGCTACAGAAAATGAGGAAACAACAAACATCAACCGATCAACCTGAATCAACCTGGGATCCTTGCAGTCGCCCCTGTTGCGTAAAGCCATTACCCACCACTGCAATTAAGGTGCCTGCCAGCAAGGAGTTGCTGTTGCCGGACTGAGTGTCTGAGAGTATCAAAGTATATCAAACTATTGTGTCATCAACTGATTTGCTATGACAAGTATGCCCACTATTTGTGAATCTTGCTAGGGCATAGGTGTTGGCTCATGTTGCCTCTATACTTGAACTTCTGAACAGTTCAAAACTACTTCTGAATCGGTCTGAATAGCCATGAATGGCCCACAAAGCAGGCCTCCAGTTACAGGCCCAGAGTCTGGGGTGACAAATGAAATCCCGAGACGTGGCAAGAGCCGCACAGGAAAGGCTTCAGCCTCAACCAAACAAAGCAATGAGCAATTGCTCACGGAAGCAACTCAAGCGCAACAGTTCCCAGAAGGCACCCAAAAGCAGAAAAAAGACGTAAGCAGTGCTGGCAGTGCGCATTGTCAAATTAAGTTCCCGGACGTCGCTCAAACTGCTCAGCTGTTGGTCAAGAAGATCGGGCGACCAAACTTGCGCGAGCAGAAATCCTCCACGGGCACGTGCCTGGTACAAGTAGAAGCTGTGCTTGGCACACAATCTGCGCTTCTCAGCAGGCAAAGAATTCAAGGACTATTATATAATTTAGCACATCAGAAATGTTGCATTGGTCACGTAGCATGCATATCATTGCATGTCTCAATCATAGCAAACACTTTGCCACAAGAAACGCCCTATACACCACTCATCCTTCTCAGCCAGTAACGATCAGTAACGTGCTTTTGGTGATATGTGTTGGGATATTCATAGGGGGGGACCTTCACAATCCTTCACACAGCCCACAGCCTGCACAGTAGCTGGAGCCGCTTGCTGGGCAATGCACTTCAAATACTCCACGTTGGCCTCCAGGTGTTGAATGGTGTTGATTCGTGGCTGGTACTTTACTCCACGTTTTGTCACACACAGTTCCTTTACCAACGTCAGAATCTACCCCGAGAGACGCATTGTTTCTTCCACCAATGTTGATTTCTGGCCTCGAAGATCAACTGATCTGTCTCCCTTTCCAAAGCAACCTTGCAAGCTTCTCTTCGCAGGCAATGCTTAGAAATCATGGGTGCTTTGTTTGAAAGGGGAAAAGATACTTGCACGGGCAACATACGCTTACGGTTTACATCTAGTAATTCCTGCTTGCATACTCGTGAACGTATGAAAATGAACTTGCAAGAGCCCTGAGAAAGCCACCAAAGCCAGACGAAGCTCATGCATGGAGGTGGCTGTGCAAGTTTCACGTTTTTGTTCTCTCCGTTTCAGTCCACATTAGATACAAAATGATAAAAACAACTTCGGAGCTGCTCTAGCAATTTGTGGGTTTCACCAAGCCATGTCCTATATACTAAGGCTCTCACCTGTTCTGCGGTAGGTACAAGAAGAGAGACCTGGACATCTTTTCCAAGGAAAGAAAACGGAAAGATTGCAAAAAAAAACTTGACGAAGACTTTGTCAAAGATGGTTTATGTGTTGCCAGCAAAGCAGCACTGACCAGAGACAGTGTCAAGAATCACCGCCCAATAGCAAAGGCAAGCCGGTCCCAAACTATTTTCCAATCAAATCATCTACAGTTCTCTGCAAATCCCGGCTGCATAGGCTTTATCATTAGATGGACCAGGGTGAGATAGGATAGGCCGCACCTATCTTGACAGCACCGCACAACCCTGGACCCCCCTAAACACTTTCGCCAGCGTGTAATAGCGATCTCTCAAAATCATCATTCCAAAAAGTTAAACAACCGTCATGTCATCAACAATCTCAACTCAACCATTCCCAAGCCACCAATGCAAAACAATCTCAACATATCTCAACACGAACAATCACAAGCAACGAATTTGATCATGAAACCCAACACGTAACAATATTCAAAGTTATGTTCAACAAACTAACCATCTCACAAACACATTCATCGAACAAAACAAGGGCAAGATTAGTTGCTCAGTCTTATTTAAAATAAGACAAAATCAATTGAAATCAGATAGATGGGTTTGTCTGAGAATGGTGTACACCCACATATCCAACGGTTTTCCATCATGTTCCCCATTAAAATGGCTATTTGCTGGGTATACTAGTATATATACCCCATTTTCAGACACCACCAAATAATGGTCAATAAGCGGAACGCCATGGAACGCCACTGCGTGCCCCCTGCCAGCCTGGTAGGACAGATTGTCCAGGTCGAAAGACATGTTCTCCTCGGTTTCGTTCTCCATTCCTGCATCAGCACTGTGCACAAAACCAAAACCGTCGGCAAAACAAGCCAAATGCTGAAGATTGAATCTTGATGTGCAAGAAACTTCAAGCGTTCGCTTCTAAATTTTTCAACACTCTGCACCTTAATCGATAAACCTCAAACCTGATTGCAAACGAATTGCCAAGTTAGCGGGATATTTGAACTACTACAAAATGGACATGCCTTAAAACGAAGTTAGGTCTATTAAGGTGTGGTCCATCGGCTCAACTGTCCTTGTTCGGCAGAATACCAAGATTGCAAAGTGCCATTGAAGAAGCTTAAGTTTGTCTCCTGTCAGACCATCAGCTCGACTGAAGTGAACAGTCTCAGTCTGAACATATTATGTTCTCAGCATCTCTCTCTCTCTCTCTCTCTCTCTCTCTTTGCTGATGGCAGTTTTGATCGGTTCAAACGGCCTCGCAGTCTCCAAAGCAGCCAGAACGATCGCTATCCCGTCGTGTGAACTGCTCGATCTGCCAATCATTCAACAGAAACGAATGCAAATCGGTTTCATTGGGTTTCTGAAAGATACAATTTCGTTTCGGCAAGGTATTAGAACATATATAATATATATTAATATATGAATATACCAGAAATATCCAGAAATACATGAATAAATCGAATAATTCAGGATTCCTGATACTGATCTTACTATCAGATACTATCAGAGTAGCACCGTTGATCGTGGGCTCCACCTTCATTGCATTGACCTGGTCTCGGAGGCTGTTGATCCTCGTCTGTAAATACCTCCCCGCCGCACGGGATGATCGCTGGGATTACACCAAGATGCATCCTGCAAGTGATAAAGATTGTACAGGGAGTACATTGATGTACTGCGCATTGTCAATTCAGGTACCAAAAAATGATAAAAAAAATGCACAAATCGAATGGAAATGACCAAATTTAGAGCTAACACCTTTGAACAGCTATATTGCATGAATAGTTTTACTCTCATTTTCCATGATTTCACAGGTAGAGCGGAGCCAACATGCCGGCTGCACGCGTAGACCTCGCAAGCATCGACCTCCTCTGGGGTGTAGGGTGGGACCAACGCATCAGATAGCGCCACACCTGACCGCAGTGACCGACAGTGACCCATGCGACTATCCAATACTGCCTTTAACACCTCCATGCTCTGCTGAAATGGAACTGGTACAAATTGGTACAAGCTGTAAATTGGCATCCCATATGCATCCAAGAACATCCCACACCATCCCGAGTCTATAGACCACTTAGAGCCACTTAGTTTATAGTTTTCTGAATGTGTTATTTAATGTTTGGAGGCTTTCAAGAAAGAACAACAGCTAGGGCAGCTAGGCGGGAACCAGCTACAAACCATCATGCCACAAGAGATGACACGCAACCGTAACGTGACCTGGAGCGCGGCATTGGACGTGCGTAGACGAGATGTAGCCTCGGCCACGGGGTACCACCAAAAAGTCTTCCTGCTATTCTTCAAAATTGAGGGATTCAAAGCTATTTCCAAATTGATGCAAAACGATGCAGATTTCCGAATCAAAAAACGATGTCCAATACTTTTAGCTGAAGTCTTTCGTGGATCACAGAACGCTGAGCTAAGGGCTGTAGAGAGGCACACGTTCAGGCTGCACCATTGAAGCTGACCTGGCACTAAGCTGCAAAGGATTGGACAACTGGAGGGATAGTGGCAGCTTGAAGGCTCGGAATAGGCTTTTAAGATTGACATCTGTTGACTATGCTGTTATTGATTTGCTGATATGACATGATATGACATGATATGACATGATATGACCACCAATGACTGCCAATGACCATCACTGGCACGTTCCCTTTGCTTCCTGAGACTTCCAGCTGGAATCGGAGAGCCGCTCAAATCGCCGGGTGCACTGGAAGATGCACTCGTCAGTGTCCCGAAAGTTTAGACCATAGATGTTGATAGGTCGTCTGGTGTCTGTGCCTGTCCAAGGCTCGATGCCACAACACAACGACCAAGCGTCAAAAAACAAATTCAAGTGATCCACAAATGCAGAGCACATGATTTCACCTCATTAATATTCATTAATCATCCCTGAGTCTCTGGAATATTCTTGGACAATGAAGTACCATACCCTACCTTGCGGCTCACCAACGCTGATGGCTGGTGGGGAGACACTGGTCACACTGGGAGAATCCACCAGCCTGGCGACAAAGATAGAGCGGCTAAAAGAAATCAACATTCATAGGAGACCAAAAGAAGTGATTTTTTTGAAGTGATTACTCTCTGGTAAACTGACATAGCTATAGATAGCTATAGAAGATCACCATTTTGAATAGCTAAGTCAATTATAAATGGGCTATTTTCAATAGCTATTTTGACATAACCAGAGGGTAAAATGGAATCATCTTCTTGTATTTTCTGGAGGACCGAGCCATTTCCACTGAGTTCCGCAACAAAAATCAAGGGACAGGTTGTATCGTGTGTGGCCCCAGGCTTGCCAAGGAAACGTTTTTTTCTGACCACTTTGGAAAGACATGCAATGAATACTTTCAAGAGATTGATTATGTTCTTTCTGCAAAGCGGTGCGAAATAGGGACAGTGTCTGAGAGTCAGTGAATGTGCAAAGGTATTCGATCCTGAAAAACATGTTCTTGAAGTTTAGTGTTTCTGTTCAGTTGTATGGCTTGAGAATAAACTCTCAAGCTCAAGCATCCACACTACCCAATGCACCGATAACAAGCCACCAACCCACCCTGCGCCTCAAGATGAAGCCAGTGTTTTTGGCAGGGGCGCCACCGAAGGTCACCCAAATAGAGGCATTCATAGCAGTTGATGATGTGGGCGAACCTTGAACAGAGATTGTCTTGGTATATCTTGGCAAGGTGCTACACAAAATATACAATGCGCATCAATGTATATTACCATAATTTATACTACATATACAGTCTGTAGACAGTATGTATATATATATATATATTAATATAGATATATGTCAAATTAAGATGTATTTATACATAATTGAGATGAAAGTGAAACACTGGATGTCAAATGTTGAAAAGGATCTCCATGTAGCAGCAGCTTCCTGACCACTGCACTGCCGCTGGCTGGCATTGTCCCCAGTGACTCGCAGCACACCGGATTAAGAAATACGGTACGACGAAGTACATGTCATCTTGGTGCAGAAACCATCAACGATGAAATTACATGAAACATCCTGAAACCGTGATCAAATATGGAGACTTGGGTTCGGGTGCCAACAACTACTGGTTGCTGGTGGTTTTGCCTGGTGGTTTTGCGGGTTGTCCTCAGTTGTCCTCGAGTCTGGCTTGGGGTCAAACGAAAGCGCAGGGCTGTGCTATTGACTCTCAACGCCTGCAGAGATGAGTCGAGGGATCGAGGGACATGACTTCGGCTACCCAAATCTCGGCCATCTGCGAATCTAACTAAATGGAAGTCAGACTGAGTCAGACTGCTCATCTACGTTGACAAAATCTATTGTGAGATATATATATATTATATATATATATATTTATATATAGTGAGTCGCCAGTATAATATGTATAGTTCTCATCTTTCTTTGAGTGCACTACAGCTAGTACATCGGAAGGATTACAGAACGAGGTCTTGCCGAATGTCATCCGCATGCCTACTATACGAAGATTCAGAGTTCCTGACTAAATCGATCTTACCCCAGTGTTGAGTTATGAGATCAATGAGATTGAACGGATCTGAACGGATGGAATAGCAGCGAATAGCAGTGCTCAAAAGGTGCACAGCGCCTGACGGAAGAAGCCTGGGGAGATCTCCACCTCAGCACAGGTTGAAGAGGCCACGCTCTGGCCATGTCATGCCATGGTTTTTTTTCAATGTCGTTTTCTGAGCTGGAGGCCAATATCCTCAATCCAACACCTCGCCTGGGGACTGTGCTTTCCTTTGCTTCTCAAATTCAAGGGGATCTCAGCTTCCAAATTGGCTACATATATCACTACTCTTGATATCCTTGATATATTTTGATATCAGCTGTATCAATATCGGCTACTTTTTTTAAACATCAGACAAGTCGGGGCGTTCAGCTCAGTGGCGGAAAGCCAATGCCGCGGAGAGTGATCCAACGCGAGGAGTTCACCGCTGCCAACAGTGGCCTGAAAAAAATGGGCGGCCGATGACCCGGCACGCCGATGACCCCAGAATCCATCGATGGTATACGGATGTATACGGTGTACGTATAGTATAGACAGTATAGCTATAGATGGAAGGAATTAGAAGGAAATAGTACATACGAGCACATACATGATTTCACACTCACTGACTGGTATATAATATCATAAAATGGGAGCAAACATTATGCAAAATACAACAAGTATCGAGAATCAAACAGTTCTTAGATTTAGATTTAATATTTAGATCACACATTGCCGCAACACGTGAGGCAAAATACATCTGTGCATCACACAATTTATGTCGGGTTTTTCTCACTGAAGCTATGCTCCCCACGAAATGCTGTGGAATTGCGGCTGTTCGAATAGAGTGATTGGCCGCCTTAGTGTTGTCGAGGTCAATTTCGAGGGCAAAGCCCAAGGCTTTCAGACTTCGGATGCCCAACCCGACCGGCACTTTTTTCAGCCATGAGCATTTGAGTTATACACAGCTATATACAGCAAATATACAGCAAATATCACTAAATCATGAAACCAGTTAACACCTTTCCTCTTGCCTATATTTGCGCGCCAGTCTATAACCCATTCATTGTATATCGCAGATGATCGCAATATCATTTGGGAGCCGCGCGGTGCCAAAAACCATTGCACGCCATTGGGAGACACCTCCAACTTCAATCGATGCAAACCTCAGCTGCAAAACTAGCAAGGCCGATTGCGGTGTTTTGGATGTTTTGGAACATCAATGATTGATGAAAGCCAGCCACTGCAGCAACAACCATCAACCACCATCCAACAGCCTGCCAATGGTTGTCGTCCACAAACACTATATTGCAATGACGTGGCAAACTGATTGATCCCATGAAGCACGTTTGTCAAACAAGTTATTTCAACAGCGTTGTATGTTCTTCTCCTGTGACCGTACCAGTGTAGACTCTGGAGTATGGAATGGGGTGGAGTGAAAAATGTGGAGTGTGAAGATAGTGAAGTGTTGAGTGGGGAATGTCGTGTGTAGAGTGTGGAGTCTAGAATGTAAAGTACAGAGTGTGGAGTGTAAAGTGTAGAGTGCGGAGTGTAAAGTGTAGAGTGCGGAGTGTAAAGTGTGGAGTGTGAAGTGTAAAGTGTAGAGTGCAGAGTGCAAAGTGTAGAGTGTGGATTGCAGATGTGGAATGTCAACTGTGCAGTGTAAGTGTGGAGTGTAAAGTGCGGAGTATAAAGTGTAGATTGTAGTCTGCGGTGCCTGCCACGAAAAATGCAACCCATCGAAAATATTGCGCCTGTCACACAAAATGACTTTCGACACGTTATGACACACATCGGAATGTCACGAAGTGCCACGCCTGCCACGCAAAATGACATTACAACCTCTTTTGAAACCTTCAAGAATGAGATCGAATCTATATGTTTCTTTTCTTCGATACTTAAAAGATCTTGGAAGCAAACCTTCTAAGTCTGGGGGGTCTAAGTCATCCTTTGGCGACTAGCCATGACCGCTGAATTGGAGCTGGGGCAGCCTACTGGGAAACGGATGACTGGTAGTGAGTGGGCCACACCTGTGCGCCCGTGGCAGAGGGAAAGACTTGAGGATCAGTGATCGATCAATGATCAATGCCAAAGACTTGCCGTGCACATAGAGAATTTTTTGAGGTGGCATGAGTTCAGATAAGTTCAGGCCAACAACACTTTTAATACAACAAAAAACCTCCAGAAACTGAGAAGTTCAGCTGTTGTGAGCTGTTGGGCCTTGCTGTGGTCAAAGAGACCCATGACAAGTTCAGAATGTAGGCCCTGCCAGAAGGCCCGGTTGAGGACACCTGAGCTCCACAAAAAACATCCGGAGACATGGTGCGAAGGCCCAAGGCCCAAGGGTGGCCCAACAAGACTTTCAGGTTGTGGCAGGATAGACATGGGATAAGCATATATAAGCATGGGATACAGTTTTTTAAATGTTATATATATATAGTTATATACTGAACTTCTCTTGTTGAGCCATTAAGGCATCATTATCAACTCAAAACAGTCTGCAGTTCTACTTGCTATCTCAGCAGCTGCTGCATGATGCTTCCGAACGCACCACAGGTCACAGATGGTCACAGGTCCCTTTGTCAAACGTCTCAGTGAGCTGCTCTGCACACAGAAGGTGACGACTGCATTGCGATAGCTGCCTCAGGGACTATCACCAGGCCTTTACCACAATCTGTGACGGAACACCATTTGTTGGTCCAGATCGAGGTGGAAAATTGCCACTTGCAAATTGCAAGGGAACAATGATATAGTTCAAGCAGGGACGTTTCAAATTGCAAACAAAGCGAAAAGGCGCAAACAACATTGAAGATTATTACACATTATGAAAAGTAAGTGTTCATTGTAAACCTTAGCTGTCTATCTCAAGAGCAGGCCCCCCTGCATCCGGTGGCTCCATTGTCAGGTTCACCTGCATGCATAACTTGGCTGCAGAACCGAAAATAATTCTGTGAAGTGCGCGAGCCTGAAAGTCACCGTCCAGAACAGCCTCAGGTGCTATGTTGTTACAGCATTAGAAACCGCATGCGCTGTGAACCGGGCTGCTATGTGCTAGTGTGCTGATTATCAACAATTGAAAAGAAATCTTAATAACACCGTGAGTGCACTGCGCAGCTTTTTTGATCCACAAAATAAATGTCACACCACTAGCATTCACTAGCCACCTAGAAGTGGCACTAGCGGATCTAGCAGCACGCAACTTATTCCTGTCTTAGGATGCCGCCACCATTGTGCCGTCTATCTCTGAGATTCTTCTGGCATAGCGAGCCCTTGGATGGAAATGAAAGATAATGAAAGTATGATAAAGGATGGAAGTTTCACAGGCCTCAACGTTTTTGCTACTCAGTCAAACTGCCAGGTTTTTTCATCCAGTATTCTAAATCGTACATATCACTGGGCTTCAAGAATGATCGCTGGGGGTGGCACAAGCCATCGACCGTCTCCGTGACCAAGTTCACGGCCTGAGAGACGGTTTTTGACACTCCGTTGTAAAAGTCAATAGACTAAGTTAATAAATGGAGGAACATGTTGCAAAGTTCCAGCCTGTTCCAGGTTTCGTAGTTAGTGGCTAGGTGGCGTAGCGGTTTTGGGATGTTTAGGTAGAAAATACACAGTACACAGCCACATAACAAAACACGTCGGCAACGTCACAGGTCGCCCGGACAGCTGCAGCTGGATTCACCGCCACCACACGCAGTTGTGGCAGAAATTGGATCCTGCAGGATTCGGCGGAAGAATTGAGAGAATCTCTTGTGCAACCCGAAGCTCCGTCCTGCTTCCAATGGTTAACCAGTCAGCTGCACGGGATGCAGGGCCTCGTTAAGAATGTTCGAACGCACGTCCAAACAAAAATGAGTCAAAGAACTCAAAATCACTATGCATTATATAATTATATACTTTAACCTTTGATGTTTTATGATGTTTTTTGCGTCATGTTTATCACGGGTTTATCTTTTTCAAGTGATTATGGAACATGCAATGGTTCTGTTGTGCTGTTGCTCTTCCACGCCCAGAACCACAAATCCGAAGAGAGTTTGTTGCTTCAGTTGGCTCAACGCCAGCGCCGTCTAAGACTCATTTGACATATTTTGACATCATCTAGGTGAAAGTTTGCGGCACCACCACAGCAAATACTGCAGCAACATAAAGCAACAGCATCTGGGAATCTGGATCTGCTGTCTCCGACGCACTTGCAGCTGCTGTAGCCCAACAGGTGTAAGGAACTCAGCCAATGAAGTTCAGCATTTCAAGAGTGAGCAACCAACAGACTATGTACAATGTAAAACAATGTAAAACAGAACGCAGGCGTTAGTGCAGGCCCTCATCCTGAAGCTGGATATAGCTGGATAAAGGACCAACCCTGTGCACCCCCACAGATATCCAAAGATCCTTGCTTGAAATGGCGGTGAACAAATCCATGCGTTTGCGACTGAGGCAGATGCCGGATAGGTGGCGGCTGGAAGATACTTGTCTCGCCTTTTTCATAGCAAGTTTCTTCTGCAACAGACTGAACGTTGGCATATTGCGTGGCGTCCATTCATGCTCCAGATACGCAGGGCCCTTGGCCATCATGTGTCTCTGTTGAATCCATGAATCCATATTGCGTTGCTCGGGTCATCTCGGGTCCGGTAGTAGTCTGCAGCTTGGATTTTCCATCAGGCTTGGTGTTTGTGCTTGAGAATTCTGGTAAAACATGGTAAAACATGGTAGAACCACATTCTCATCCCTGCCTCAGGAAGTTCAGATCGCTGGGCAAATCGCAGCTGGCCTCGTCCTTGGACAAACGCCTGAGCTGAGCGATTCAAATATATGATAGTATTTATTATGATATAATGATCATCTATAAATGGAGGGAATCATCTATAAATCATCTATTGTGATTCGTATTGCGAAGCACTAAAATGGAGCAATGGAAAAACACAAAACACGGTGCCCGCATGGAGCCCAGAAATGGTGCCAAGATCTGCCTGCCGGGCACAACCTCCGAGACGAACTTGTCAGATAGCCTTGGGGAAACAAGGGGCAAAAATCGCTTGCACTGACCCAATGCTGTGAAGAAGTAGTGAGAAATACCATGAAATACCATGACACTGCTGAGTTCCCACTTCAAATACCCAACTCATTTCTTGCGGTAATTGCTTTTCCTTGACCCCATCTGTCAATTTCCTCAACAACTATGACCTGGTGCATAATCTCTTAGCCCGAGCCCAATGCATGGTCCTTGCTAGCTGCAGAACGAATACTACAAGATACTACAAGAGGTTGCTTTTGACCTTTGTTGCCATATGCTGACATGATTAGAAAAAATATGAAAAAATGGAAAACCCTCTGGGGCACCCTGCAGTCGACATTCAAGTTGTGGAAGCGGGGGTGGTGTCTCCTGGCAGCTCTTTGGCAGTCGATCCCCTGTCTTGGCATACCCGGGATGCCTGTTGGCCCAGGTTTGCTTCTTCAACGACTTGAATGTCATACATGTTCGATTTGTTTTTTAGAACCCTGATCTGCAAGGAACTCAATCTGCTGCTTTGTGCTTTGTTTCTTGCTTCTCTATTTGGAAAGTGATCAGTCAGAGCTGAAGATCTTGCTGTCTTCAGGTCGTTGCAGTGTGGCTGTTCTGGAGGCTTCCGGTGAGAACTTCAAAAATGTCTGCTGCTAACAAAGTGTTGCATCATCTCAATAAGTCCTCTGCAACTTATAAATATGTGTGTGTGTGTCGTATGTGTATATACATATATAATTAAATTATTATATATATATATATGTATATATATTATAATACTGTACAGGTTACATGTATGGTCCTGGTATGTAAAAGTGCAATTCATATTATGCATATGGGTATCGTATAGTATGGATTCATATGGATTCGTATAGCATATCATGGTGTGAGTGTCTCTCAACTGCATCGCTGACCCCGTCCAGGCCTTGCTGGCTTTCTCGCCAAGCTGCCACAGAAACACCTTGCACGGCTTTCAAAGTTGCATGGCACAGGACCCGTTATACCAAACTTCATGAGTTCCTTCTTAAAGACTGGCCCGGCAAATGGTTTCCTAGACATAAGTGCAGCATTTTCTAGGAACTTTGAGCGTGAAGAAGTAACTTGCATGGTCACTGGCCGGAAAGTGAAAGTCTTCAGAATTGCATCATGCGGAATCTGGTGAGGCAAATCGGACGTCACCAAATCTACCGATACCATTGGTGCCTCCTGTCCATCAAGCACCAGCAACTCCTTTTGACTTGGCCTCAGTATGTCCGTGCTGTCCATGCTGTCCACGTTTAATGGGCCGTTGCAGGCGTCCACCAGCTGATTGTCAGGTCCAGACATTCCCAGTACGCTGGTTGAGTTGCCTCAGCATCAAGGCTTATGTTGTTTTTACATTGTATTGTATATCATTGCATTGACACCATTGATGGATTATTTGGTGTGTTTAGGATTCATAAAATGCTTCATGATTCTTCATGATGCTTCACCATTGAGCTTGACACCAGACACTGAAGCAACCTCAATTTGCACAGAGGCACAGGAAAAGCAGCGATCCAAGAAACCACAATAGACAATGCACATCAAAACAGTGTTGTGGAAACTTGGAAGTGCCGGTCCAAACTATCCTGTGGCTCTTGGATATGTCAAGAAAGACATACTTCAGACTTCAAAAAATGTAACGTGTTGTAACTTGATGGTACACAGCCTTTTCTTTGATCTTGGGCTCTCCTGCAGCATACACAAGCCGCCCTGTGCTTTGATCCACAACGCGAATCGTTCCATCAGAGCCACCTCAGCAGTATGAGATATGGGTGTGACTGAAAAAAGGTGTAATTATCTCCATGGTTTATCGTCATTTTCTGTTTTGAAATGGCAATTTGACGCAATTTCAGAACATGAAAACCATTTTCAGACAAACCTGCATCAGAGTCAAAAATGGTGTAAAAAGGCAAATTCGTAGGGGCAAACATCCACCATCCATCAACGCAGAACATTTAGGCGCAGGTCTTGCGACTGACAAGATTCACCAGTGAAGGTTGGATGCAAGCACGTGGAGAAAAGTAGCACAATTGGCACTATGAAATATATGAATGCTAGATTGCCGAAGAGTTCTCGTGTAATATGATGGTTTCGATTTAGCCAATGAAAAGCCATTGTGAAACAGGCACCCCGACTGCAGAAAAACCAGTCTTGACCCAGGCCAGCTTCAACTACCTGGCAGCGAAATCAATGGGCCCAAAAGCCCATATCTGGTCACACTTACCCAAATCATCCAAATCTAAAAGCAACGTCCCGATCTCCGGGAATCGAGAGGATGGATGTCTAGTTGTGAGATGGTTCTACTTTGTCTAGACAGTGTGTTCTTACTCTCGGATACGAAGCTCCGTAGTTAACGAATTTGAAGGAGACATCGTTTGGAGGATGACAGTATGTCAGGAGATGTCAGGAGCGCCTGTTAGGTACAAATCTAGTTTTGAAGTCGGGACAGCATCAGAAAGAAACCTCGCAGAAACCACTCTGGGAGCACGCCTTTGATCCACAATTCCAATATGGCCGTGAAAGCGTAAAATTGGAACCTGCATGCAATGCGTTCAATCGAACAACAGAATAGACTGGACATTCTGCTGATGCGTGAGCCCACAAAAAATGATGTAGATAGAAATAGCGCATTGTTTGGGGAGCTGGATAGCAGATGCATGAAATTCCGTTTCAACTGTACGTATCTGTACGTCATGAAAGAAAAATCTTGTGACGTTCTCTGACGTGGTGTACGGCAAGACTTCTCCACCTTCTGTCATCATCCAAACCGCAGGATCTGCAGAGGTGTCGAGTGGCCTCATGCAGCAACGAGACCCGGTACCATTGCCAGACCGAGCACAACCAGGGCGAGAAATAAGGAAGCACCACCATAATCAAGAAAGAGAGAAACAAGCGGGTCCGGGTCTCAAAGGTTAGTATAGTATGAACATGTATACATATACACACATTGTATGTGTATATATATATATGTATATTATTATATATATATATATGTATGTGTGTATATATATATATTTATATATATATATTTATATATATATACGTATATATTATATTGTTGTGAATTGTGTGCCACACAATTTGGGTGTGGAACATCATTTTCCTATTTTGTGGCCCTATCGGCCCAACATCCCCATTTCTAGGGAGGGATATCCCTAGGGTCTAGCCAACCTGGCTACATGTCGTGCAGCCCCGAGCCAAAAGGGTTGCTTCGCACTTGGCGCTTTCCTGCACTTCGAGTGGCAGGGCTGTGCATTGGGTTTTTGCTGCTACCCATCAACATTGGCAGCCGAGCTCAGTCCTCCAGAGCTCTACTACAACCCTACATCGAGCCCAAGGACACCTACAACTTCACCTACATCCATTCCCTGCGCAACTCTCCCTACATCACTGACTATAACCTCACCTGGTCTTGCACTACAACCTGCTCTACGAATTCGACCTGGACTTCGACATCCCTTGCCGTGATTTCCTGGACTTTGTCAACGGCCTGGACGACCAGTATGCCACCGGCAACTGATGGCCCAACGACTGTTTCGAGCACGACTGGCATGGAGATGCAGAAGGACACCTACATCCCTGTCTTCACGAATCGACCTCAGGACTATAGGGAGTGGCGACAACGGATCAATCTCTACAGGCGCAAGCTGGAGTTGCAGAACAAAATCGAAGGAGGCCGTGCTGAACGTCTTGACCTCGCTCCACGGAGTGGCATGGCGACAACTTGAGCCGAAGGTGGAAACCATCCTGGCCAAGGAGGACGGAGACTTCGATTTGATCCAGGCCGAGCTGGACGCCACGTTCCGCTACAACGAGGACGTGGAGATGCCTCGAGCTTTTGAGCGCTTCTTCTATGGCTTGAACCGGAAGCCCGACCAGACGCTCTTGGCCTACGTTGCAGATCATCGAGAAGCTCTACATGAAGTGGAAAAGCATGGGGTGCAGATCAGCGACAGGGTGAGTGGCTGGATCTTGCTTCGCCGCTCAGGACTTTCAAGTGAGCAGAAGCAGCTGATTCAAAGCCAGTGCCCCAAGCTCTCCTATGACAAGGTGGTTGAGGCTATGTTCTTCCTTTTGGGGCAGGACTACAAGAGCCGAAGCCTGGACAGCCAGTCCACGAGGTGGAAAGGCAAGACCTATGGACGATGGTCCAACAAGAACTACGGCTACATGGTGGAAGAGGGCTACGACATGGAGGAGCCCTACAACGACGACTACGCCTACCAGCAATGGGATGAAGGCGACTACGGAGGACACCTATGGAGCCAACGACTATGAGGACACAGAGTTCCCTGACGAAGGCCTTGGCGATGATGGCACTTTGGAAGAGGCCTATGCAGCCTACTTGGATGCGAGGAGACACTTCGCACAACTGAAGGCTGCCAGAGGCTACTTTCCAGCTGTGTCACTTGCAGACTCTGGCTCATCAATGGCGGCGAGCTCACAGTCTCCAAAGCCACCCAAGGGCCGAGGAAAAGGACGTGGGAAGATAAAAGGAAAGCCTTCTTACCGACAGTCCAACCCTCCTCAGAAGGGATCAGCTGCATCGAGGGCCAATGCAAATCGATGTCTACGATGTGGACAAGTTGGCCATTGGGCTGCCAACTGCACAGCCTCTCCAACAAGGACGAGCCTTTCACCATCGACTACGTCATCACCTACGAAGAAGGCCAAGACGGACTCTGCCATGATGGTCCGCGACCTTGCCAAACATGTTCCTGCCGGACTTCCACTGCTGAGCTCTGAAGGCCTCTACGGCATCCAAGATGGTGGTGCCTCATCAGTGGTGTGCGGACATGATGTCTTGATGCGCATCATTGATCACATGAAGGCACGTGGAGTCCCAGTGGAAAGATTCCTCTTCGCTGCCACCAACAAGGTGTTTGGATTTGGAGGAGATGCCAACAGGCATGCAGACTGGTCAGTCAGACTTCCAGTCTACATTGAAGGTCAGGCCGGATACATTGAGACTTTCATTGAGGGCAACACGCCTTTGCTGATCGGCCGACCAATCCTCCAAGCCTTGAACATCAAGACAACTCCAACCAAGTATCCATCCAAGATGGTGATTGGAAAGCTGCTGACATGGGAGAAAAGGGTGAGTACCTGCTCTGCCTGGACAATGGAGTCGCCGACGACCCCCTGGGCCAGAACATCACCTTTGACTACGTCACCACGGACACTTGTGCAGCCATCACCAACTACGAGGACTTGGACGACTACATCTCCATCCACGGCTACCTGACGATGACAAAACGGAGCCCACCAGAGACTGCCTTCCTAGAGGATGACAACAAGGACGACGACACCTCCGACTTTGAAGAGACCTATGACCCTGCTGCCGAAGATGATCCTTCTGCAGTTCGACGCCCCATCACTACGAGGATCATCAAGACCATGCACATGGAGTTCAACAGCTTCAACAAGAAGAGACGTGAGACAATGGAGCAAGTGCTGTTTGCACACCAGACGGGCAAGCGCATCTTCTGGGAGGTCTACAGTGGCAGCGCCAACCTCTCAGCTGTCATGGAGTCTCAAGGATGGGAGGTAGCCAACTTTGACTACAACTCTGGATGGGATTTTGACATTGCCCAACATCGACGTGAATTCCTGGAACTTCAGGACAAGACCTGCCCGGACTTCATCTGGTACAGTCCCAAATGCACCGAATGGTCACGGCTGCAGAATCTCAACACTTTGACTGAAGAGCGACGACATGCCCTTCAACGGGACTACCAGGAGAAGGTACGCTTGAAAATGTGCCGCAGAAGCTAATTGAAGCAGCGACGAGAGGGCAGACATGCTGCACTGGAACAACCTCGATATGCCATGAGCTGGAAGACCAGGACTCTTCATGATCTTCCTGGACATCAATGCAATACCAATGCCAGTTCGAAGTCACCCTACCTGATGAACATGGCCAAGACCAGTACATCAAGAAGCCAACACGACTTCAATGCACCGACGAGGGCATGGCCATGGAACTTGCACGTCTTTGCCCTGGAGATCACTACCACTTTCCAATTGAAGGAAGCTCTCCTGGAGTTGGCAATCGAGCAGAAGCTTCCGGTGTCTACCAAGGCATTTTCTGCAGCATGATCAGCCAGTCGATCATCAACATCTTCGTCACTCAGGAGCCCTCACGAGCCAACTACATCACTGAAGAGATCTATGCCGGCGATGAGGACAACGAGGCCCCCATGGACTTCGAGAATGCCTCTGACGTCTGGCCTGATTCTCCTGAAGAACCTCCTGAACCTCACCTGACACGACTGCAAGATGATGATCGACAAGCTGCCAAGAGGACAATCACAAGGTTGCACAG